TTTATTATTTTTTATTTTTTAAATTCGAATAAAATGTAAAAGAAAAAAATTACCTTCTTAGAGAAGAATGCTTTGCCGAGGCCGTAAGATTTTTTCGACATTTTTTCGGATTTTGTTTGATACTCGAATGGCTCGTTAAAGTTTTGGAAATTTTAGAGAGAAAGAGAGAGTAGAGAGAGGAAAGAGAAAAAGGAGAGAGAGTGTAGAAGGGCAAAAACGTAAAAGGGGGGCGGTGACTAGTAAAAGGGGGGCGGTAAATAGCGATTCACCATTTTTATTAATAATCTTTTGCCTTATCTTCCACACTTTCTTTCTCTCATCAATCCTTCCTCTTCTCATGTTCTTCTGTTTTTTTCGTAAGCTATCCACCAATGAGAATAACTCCGAAGGCAGACGATCGAGAAGAACTCCGGTGAAAGAAAGACGAGACGAACTCCAGCTAAAGAAGGGTGACCCTCTGCGGTGACTGATGGGTCTCCTCCTAGATTTGGAGTGAACCGGTGGTTATGAGCTCCGATCTGTTCGAACCGCCCTCAAATGGATGCTAAACCGCTGTGAACACTTGCAAGAACTCAACGCCGAAAGTGTTTCCGGCGTAGAACCTCCGACGCTCAAGTCAGTAAGAGAGATGAAAAGAGTTCTGCTCAGTGGGAGCAGCAGTAGTAAGAAATGAATAGTGAGTGAAAGTTAGGATTTCAGGTTACCTCAACTCTTTTATATAGAAGGAAATACCTATTTGAGATACCCAAAATGCCCCGACCGACTTACATGAAGTGTCCAAAATACCCTGGTCGGTTCGCATTTCATTCATCTCCTAGTCAGCGCCAGATTCCTTCTTATCTCATAAAGATTTTCCTTTATTTGGAGGACTTGTTAAGATGTGCTGAAGTGCCTCGAATCATCGGATGCCTCGAGAGTCGAGGCATAGAGGGTCGACCTCGAGTGGTAAGAGGTCGACTTAAGGGTTTATTCATAGCAATACATCAGGAGGCTCTCACCACTTCGAATGGTTCTCGTCTTCCTATAGAAGTCGACTTCAGAAGTCGACCTATAGAAATCATCAGGAAGTCATCAGCTTGCCAAAAGGAGTTCCTTCCTTAGGTAATAACTAATACGTGAGAGAAGTCGACTTTAGGATGTCGACATGTATATTCGTCATCCGGTTGAGCAGTTAGTACTTGAACTGGTATACCATAATATGGCTATATTAGTGACTTCGACTTTTTTTTTTCGTCAAGCTCATAACTCACCCTTTTTCGTCGAATATGTGTATTTAATGAGGAGTCTGAACTCATATTTTACTCATATATTTTTCCTAAAATTGGTGTTCTCCATATTTTGTTAAGTAATCAATTTTGAATATTGTTCTTCATATTCACCTAAAACAAAGAAGGTAGCAATAATCTCTTTGTTATTTCTATCAACCATTTATGTGAGATTATTTTTTTCTCGTA